TTTTCGGTTCAGTTGGTATGATGTAAATGACCTTGCAAGGTTAGTGTGGCAGTAGCATTCTAGACTTGTATGTGGAAGGTGGCCGCGCCATAGCTCAAGCGGTTAGTCGCTGGCTTCCCACCGCGGCAGACCGGTTTCGAGCCCAGGTCAAGTCAAAGTGTGATTTGTGGTGGACAAAGTGGCACTGGGGCAGGTTTTCTCCGAGTACTTCGGTTTCCCCTGCCAATCATCATTCCACCAAATTCTCCATCATCATAATCAACCGGGGAAGTTACAATAGTCCAATCAGTGGCCGCGTGCCGAGTGGACTCAGCTGGACTCCACCTCCCACTATGCGAAATAAAAAAAATATGTGGAAAGTGCTTGTTCTAACCTCAGTCGGGAAACCGACTATCTTGACTGAGGTTTATTTCATAGTTCTCTCAGTCCCTCCAAGGAAATCCCTGAATAGTGCTTTAAAATTAGGCCACGACCGCTTCCTTCCACGTCATTCTCAATTAATTATCCTTTATCATGCAACTATTCGAAGCTATATAATCTGGGTTACTGATTAACAAAAAGGTAAAGCTATCCCTGTAACAGGCCTCGGAGGCCCATAGGGTAGTGAGACGTCGAGGCTTCCACATTTTCTAGACAATAGGCTCACAGATGGTGGTAAGGTTGTCAGCCTTACGCGCCGGCCGCCCTTTACGTCCAGGAAGATTCCTGGTACTCATTTCTATTGAAGGTTGAATCGGCACCAGGGCCATAGTACGGCTGGAAGGATAAGGTCAATTGAGAAATCTAATGACTTTATCGGGACTCGAACCCGCGACTTTCCGGCTTGTAGCATAGTGCCTCAACCAACTACTCTACCGCGTGCCTCTTGAGCTACTGATAGCGTTGTTAAATAAATTACAAACGAAAGAAGTGTATATCATAAATTGAAGGCTGTCAGATTAAATCCCCTTTTCGAGGTCCACGACATTCGTCTCCTCTCTGTTTACTTAAGCTGTTTTGAAGTGTGGAAAAAGTTGATGGATATGGTGCTGTCATGTAGGGGCTTGATGAGGGCTCAGACACCAAATACGACGCTCTTCATCTGTGATCCTATCATCTCTTCTGTCTTATCTGCCGTACCCGAAATAAGTTTGACTGGAAATTGTTTACACAGAATGGTACAGAGTAGAAGATTCTGGTGAATAAATGTCTTATTCATTATTGCCAGTAGAAGCCTAATTGTTGTATGAAAGTTATTAGGAATTAACGGGTTAGAAATTATATTTCTGAAAAGGCGATTGAATGTGGTGCAGTTTTTTTCTGGAATAAATACCACTGTATCACTCTGGAACCATAACCTTCTTACAGACTAGCTCAGTAACTAACTGGCTAAGCATCAAGGGACATATTTACAGTAAATGAAAAATCGACGAAGTAATAAGCTAAGAAAATAAAACTCCGTAGTTTTAGTTCGCAAGTGAACTAACCGACCGAGCGACCGCCGCTTGTCGGCGAAGTTAGTGCCAACTTTAGCGGATAGAGGGTGTCGAGTGTTTAAGTGGTTAAGAAATTCTCTTTACAGAATATAACCATTCATTTCCATCGCCAGGAAAGTCTATTTTAACAAAGTTTCATTCAGACCAGGTGTTAAACGCGTGCTTTCATATGATCCTTTTTATTGATTATTATTCTTACACCTATCAGTAGGTCTGATTAGTGGTATCACTTTATGAGCTTCTAAAGTAAAAATTTGGTATGAATTTTTTGTATGCTTCATGCGTATAACATGCCTTATCTATAATCAATTAATCACTTTATCAATAATAAATAGCAATGCTGAAGATCACCTTATGATTTAGTAAATATTTTACATCAAGCGGCAATATACCTGGTTTCTGATCTGGATATACCCAGTTCAGGTCTTTACTGTACACCGTTTTCCCCGATTGAGATATTTCATTCGGTGGAATGACGACTGAAAGCCAGAATAACGGAGCGATAAGAAACATCTTTTGCTAGGCTACAGAAACCTATACAGCCAACTATTCGTATTGCGAGATAATGTAGGATCTACGCTTGATGGGATTTGCCATAAATTTAGCGCCATTGCACAAAGATAATAACACAAATCTTACCACACTGCCCATCTGATGGATTACATTGGACTGACCACATGTTTCATGGAATCTTACACCCGCTGAGAGGCTGTCCCGTTTAGCGGACATGACTTTCAATAGACTAAGAAAACAATATTTTATTAATTAATTAATTATATGGTAATATAACATGAAGGTTCTACATCGTTAACATCAAACTCCGCCTGAGTCTCTTCCACTCATCCTCATAAATTTCATGCTTAAAATCTATCCTATCGATACCTTTCCATCTTAATCTTGGTCTTCCAAGCGTCTGTTTTCCAGGGAGAGGGTCCGCTAAAATAATTCCCTGTACATTTCTTGCCTCTAATCAAAGTACGTTCTCAGGCAATTGTAGGCCCCAGGATGTCACTATGGTGACAACACTAGAAGACCTGTATGAATGATGAAGATCGTTGTCGTATAGCCCTGTAATCCTAAATGTTCCTTTATTTGATCCCTCATAGGTCCAGATATGATCCTGATCACTGTTTTCAAACGTGTGTCATTTATATGGATAAAGAAACTATACTCCGTGGTTTCAGTACGCAAGCGAACTATACCGACCGCGCGACCGCCGCTTGTCAACGAAGTTAGTGCTAACTTTAGCGGACAGAGGGTATCGCGTGGTCAGCGCAACGAATCCTCAAGGACGTTAATTTCGGTATTCTAGACCGGAGCTGCTATTTCCTGGAAATACCTTCCTCAAATATCCTCAAGCGGCCTCCGTAGTCTAGAGNCCCAACAGCAGTCTCTAATACCTCTGGTAGATGGGGGAAGCATTATAGATACCTCTCAGCTAGTAGAGCCGGTCTCGCTGGCTGGGCGGGACTGATGGTAAGCACCAGTACCGGTAGGATATAGAGACTGGTAGAAATCATAGAGGGAAGCACAATGGACCAATACAGGTCTCAGTGCATGGGGAAACCTACCCTCTCCAATAACTAACTAAATATCCTCACGAGGCTGAGTGGACTCCGTTCCAGATCCACTACTTCTCACGAAATCTGGTAGCGCCTGGAATTGAACCCGGTTCTCTGGATCTGTAACCAGGAACTCTGACCTCTAGACCACAGAGGCGGTAATTTTTATGGATATGTTATTATTAAAGTAATATATAATTTTCGGATAAGAAACAAACCGTGAAGAATACTATCGTCTGGCATGTGACACTATGTACGCTGGCAGAAGCCAATAGACGTTTCGGAGTAACTTCCTGCTACCATCTTCAGGAACGAAGAGTAAGCCAATCGGTGAGCAAGCATAATGTCGCATCCCACAAGGCAGCAGTCCTTATAGTAGCCGCGGTAAGAATCCACAATCTCACAGAATAAACTATGAATATCCGGCTTTACCCAGTTGGTTTATAAAAGTTGTGCATTTACAGTATGGCCGTGTGTAGGAAGATTGAAAATCAAAATTTACGTATGTAGGTTCGGCACTATTACAAGGTGTGGCAATAAAGAACANGTAAATTCCGTAATCTCTCCTTAATGCTAGACGGACTATAATGTAGCCTCAGTGAGAAGTGGAATATTCCGCAAGTGTTTTGCCGGAAATCCCGTATCATGCCTCGAGTTTCCACCCATCCTACAGTTTCAGTGACCCGGAAAATGCAGGTTATAATGTGCAAACACTGGCGTGTGTAATGTTACATGAATGCCGAGTGTAAACATAACATTCTTTGCTAATCGTAACATACAAATCCAAATATTTATATACCTCTGTTTTCAAACCCATATATGGCAAAAAGGGTAAAATGGTCCCTGTGTTTAACTAATTAAGCAGTACGCCATCAAGAGGTATAGGGGAGTAGGTATTTAGATCCATGTATTCTTGACCTTGGCACTAGCTGGAAGTGAGCGGCCAGCTTCACGCCCCGGCCGCTTTACCCTGGGGTAAGGGCCTCCGGTACTCTTTGGATAGGATGCTGGATGGGCCACAGAACCGGTCTGCACGACACAGAGAAGCGAAAGACTTTGTCACTAACGGGATTCGAGCTCCGACCTCTCGGCCGTCCAGTAACCGGTCGTTATACCGACTGCTCTGTCCCGGCTACCACCCATATGTATAGTGATATATCAAACCTATAGCAGCGATGTCAAAAAGGCAGCCTAGACGGTAGATTATTTTTGAATATATGGGCTGTATTTTTATAAAAAGGCAATACAAATGGAAATCTCTGCATCTCCACATCAGTGGCAGAGCAGAGGGATATCAAGAATGTGTTAATTCAATGTATGTTTTGTACAAGACACATATGGGAATTTGAGCTAAAAATTACTAAAATCTGAGGAAGAAAATGTAAACTAAAAAAGAAAAAGGTTAACAATAGCTGAAATCATCTTTCTTTTTATAAAAACTTCTACTTCATTTCCATGTGAAGATTTCTGCCTGCACAGAATAATAAATGAACGGTGCTGAAAAGAAGAAACAGCCGCTGCAGCACATGTAGACAAGAGCCGGTGTCCCTGGTATTTAAAACTTTAAATTTTGAACTTTAAATTTTAAACTATAATTCTAAAATAAAATTGACGAGCGTGTGTTGACGAAATTTTAAAACAAAACTGACAGGCTGATATTTTAGATTTTGGACTGTGTGCAGTGTGACAGCTACGTAGTGAAAAATACACCTGATGATGGCCAATTACGGCGAAACATGTAGTGTAGAGGAATAAAAGACAAAGATCTACAACCAAATAAATTGTTGCATTCACGACGGCATTTGTATTATTATATATAGAAGTGTATAGTGCAACAGGATGCTTAAATATAATATAGAGAACAAACAAACTAGGCATATTTAGAAAAATGCTGAGATATAGTTTGGAAATATGTGAATGTTTACAATATTTGATCCTAATCCATATTTTTTATTTGTTACAGTGATATTCAGCTAGAGGCAAGATGGCTGCTTTGAAGTGGACTATCATGCTGCTAGCATTTCATCTCATGGGATTATTTTACAGTAAATCAATAACAGCAGCACCAATTTATAATAGTGAAGAAAATCAACTCTCTGGCACGACAGATAGCACTCTGGTACACATGAATGATCATGACATTAGTGATACACATGAAACAAATACACATAATGGAGGAAACGATCATGATGTTAATGGAGTTGCTGAGAAGGGTAAAGATCGAACAAGTAAGGAAGGCCAAGAATTTGGAAATGAGACGGAATCAGGAGGCTCTATTCATGAAAATGTTGCAATTTCACCTAACCCACATGAAGATGGTGACATGGCACGATCTCAAGGTACATCGAATGATGAAGAGAACAAGGAAGACAATAATAAAGCCTCTTCAATAGAAGATGATAATGTCAGTTCTGAAGGTCATGTTCATAAAGAATCAGGACCAGCAGGAAATTCTGATGAAGGGGGCCATGTAAAGCACGAAGAAGCACATGATCAGGAAATGGATACTGATGTAGCCAGTGAGGATGAAGCCGATACTGATGTGGCCCATGATGTTGAAGAGGATATTGGTGCAGCTCATGAAGATAATGAGGATACTGGTGTAGTCCATGGTGAGGAAGTCGATACTGATGCAGCCCATGATGTTGAAGAGGATACTGGTGCGGCTCATGAAGATAATGAGGATACTGGTGCAGCCCAAGATGGGGAAGCTGATACTGGTGCGGCCCATGATGTTGAAGATCATACTCGTACTGGTGCAGCTCATGAGCATAATGGGGACACTGAGGCAGCTCATGAAGATAATGAGCATACTGGTGCAGCCCATGATGAGGAAGTCGATACTGGTGCGGCCCATGATGTTGAAGAGGATAATGGTGCAGCTCATGAAGATAATGAGGATACTGGTGCAGTCCATGGTGAGGAAGTCGATACTGGTGCGGCCCATGGTGTTGAAGAGGATAATGGTGCAGCTCATGAAGATAATGAGTATACTGGTGCAGTCCATGGTAAGGAAGTCGATACTGGTGCGGCCCGTGATGTTGAAGAGGATAATGGTGTAGCTCATGAAGGTGATGTGGTTACTGATGCAGCCCATGATGTTGAAGAGGATACTGGTGCAACTCATGAAGATAATGAGGACATTGGTGCAGCTCATGAAGGTGATGTGGATACTGGTGCAGTCCATGGTGAGGAAGTCGATACTGGTGCGGCCCATGGTGTTGAAGAGGATAATGGTGCAGCTCATGAAGATAATGAGTATACTGGTGCAGTCCATGGTGAGGAAGTCGATACTGGTGCGGCCCGTGATGTTGAAGAGGATAATGGTGTAGCTCATGAAGGTGATGTGGTTACTGATGCAGCCCATGATGTTGAAGAGGATACTGGTGCAACTCATGAAGATAATGAGGACATTGGTGCAGCTCATGAAGGTGATGTGGATACTGGTGCAGCCCATGACGATGAAAAGAATACTGGTGCAACTCATGAAGATAATGAGGGTACAGGTGCAGATCAAGGTGCTGCTGAGGTTACTGGTAAAGCCTATGATATTGAAGAGGATGGTGGTGCAATACATGATAATGAAGTGGATGCTGGTTCTGCTCGCGAAGATAATGAGGACATTAATCAAGCTCATGAAGGTGATGATATTGGTGCAGGCCATAACAATGAAGAACATACTTTTACAGAAAATGATCATAAAGAGGATCATGATGCAGACAATGAAGATTTTGGTGCCGAAGATGTTCACAAAGAGAATCATATTGCAGAATATGAAGACAAAGGAAAGTATACGGCTGTATTGCATGGAGCTTTTAAAGAAGAGACTACTAAAACAAATGGAACTAATGATAAGGGACTTGAACCACATGTGCACCATGAAGAGGCAACTGCAGGCTTGGTGCATGGAGTTATTACCCAACATATACATGCATCACCTGGTAATGGTATTGCATCAAATGGAGACAAAGCTACAGGCTGTAATTGTTCTAACAATGAGACGGACATCTCTGAAAGAAGGGAAATTGATCAAAAATATGGTGATAAAAATAAAGATAAACCTGATGCCATAAGTACTGACATAGTAAAGATTCATGGTGGGGATGAAAATTCAGTCTCAGATAGAATAGATGAGTACAATTTAACCACGTCAGTCACTGGTTGTGAAAATTGCACTGTTGTATCTGGACCACAATTGCAGAAAGAGGAAATTAGAAGACAAGGCGCTGATGGTATAAATGAACCAGGACATGTGTCTCAGTCTCAAGATTCTGAGTATTCTCAGAGTTCGACTGGTTCGTTTGTTGTTTTGGGTATCATCATGGGTACAATAGTTGTTCTCCTTGGATACTCTGTGTTCAAGAGCAGGTGGAGGAATGCACAGGAAGCAAAGAATGAAGATTTTGGTACAGAAATGGCAGATGTGAAGAAAAATCTTTTACCACGGAATGAATTTAGTGGTGGTATTCATCCCACTATATATCTGGAAGCAGACGAAAGTAACTCTAAACTGTTAGCAGACACACAGTATAAGGGTAACAATGCAAAGAACGAAGGAACACTCAACGTCGAAGCTGGAATAGCTGACTATGGTGTTCAGAATCAGAAAGATCACGAAAGATATGATGGTTCACATCCTAAGCAGGAAATTGATTTTGATAGGATTGAAACTCAGTCAGAACCAAATGCACCAGACAACACTCTAAAATCCCATTCTCAAGAAAGCTCTAAACTTCTCTCAGAAGCTGTTATTACAAAGAAAGTGGAGACACTAGATGTTCAATGTGCACGTCATCCACTGAAACCTCAAAAGGCCCCAGATAACACTTCTAAATCCTATTCTCAAGACAGCACTAATCATTACCCAGAAGTTTTCATTGCAAATAAATTGGAGACATCTGATGTTCAATGTGCACATCTTCCAGTGAAACCTCAAGAGGCTACAGATAAGACCTCCAAATCCCATTCTCAAGAGTGCACCGATCAGTTTCCACAACTTTTCATTGTAAAGAAATTGGAGACAGCTGATATTCAATGTGTACATCATCCGGCGAAACCTCAAAAGGACCCAGATAACACTTTCAAACCCCATTCTCAAGAGAGCACTAATTATTTCCCAGAAGTTTTCGTTGCAAAGAAATTGGAGACAGCTGATGTTCAATGTGTACAATGTGTACATCATCCACTGAAACCTCAAAAGGCTCCAGATAACACTTCCAAAGCCCACTCTCAAGAGAGCATTAATAATTTCTCAGAAAATGTCATTACAAAGGAAGTGGAGACAGCTGATGTACAAATTTCACATCATCCAATGGAACCTCAAAAGGTCCCAGATAACACTTCCAAAGCCCACTCTCAAGAGAGCACTAATAATTTCTCAGAAAATATCATTATAAAGAAAGTGGAAACAGCTGATGTCCAAAGTGCACATGATTCATCTCATCAAAATGGTCTCAACAATGCAAATGTTGTGTCTGAAGTAATAGCTGAGACACCGCCTAGTGTTCCATCACAGAATAATTACGTTGTTGCAAATAGCGGTGGTCTGGTAATGATTCCTGGCGAGGTGTATACTACATCAATGCCAGCGACATGTGTGAGTCGTACTGTTGTAAATAGGCCACCATGCCGCACTTTCACATACCAATAGCAGTCATAATATGATGACATTTTTCATTTCTGGAGGATTAACCTTGAAAGGTGTTATTTGTGTTATGAGTATTGAGTCGAAACCAGTGATTCTCAGGTGTGGCCATCATCATCAAAAAACAATCAGATATACACACATGTTCTAATCCTGGTATTTCTTCTGCATTCTCATAGTAGCCAAAGTGGGTTTGCACACAATTTTTTTAAGCTCTAAGTACATTTTGGTATTCATTGTTCATATTCAGTGTTCTCACTAAATGGAGGTTATGCATAATTACACAAAGAAACTGCTCTTCATACACAAGACTTATTGTATACAATTACAATTATCGTAAAATTATTTATTATCGTCCTGGTTTTTAAGATAACAAATAAAAAGAGGACGTTTCGGAAACTGGATCTGTTTCCGTCCTCAAGTGAAGGAAAACACCTATTCAGTTGGGTCCCTTAGAAAGAGCTAGCCTCAATCACTGGACCCAGTGGTTGAGGCTAGCTCTTTCTAAGGGACCCAACTGAATAGGTGTTTTCCTTCACTTGAGGACGGAAACAGATCCAGTTTCCGAAACGTCGTGTTTTTATTTGTTATCTTAAAAACCAGGACGATGGATAAAGTCCAAAATCCCAACATATCAGTGTGTTATACACCATCGTCAGAATCCTATAGTAACTAATATCAAATTAATTTTGAAAACAATTAATGACATATGAAATAAACATTGAAAGACATCAGTCAAGAATCAATGTGAGTGGCTTGGCTTCAGTGAGTGTAGAGCACATGATGTTACCTGGCAAAGATTATGGTTATATGGTAACAATCTCTGGCAAGCAGAATGTGAATATTGATTGTTTCAACCACATTTGAGCTAAATTTTGGTATGGATCATGGAACATTAAAAATTTCTTATCCTAAATGATAGCTATTTATTAAATAGAAATCCTTTTAATACAGAAAAATAACAAGTTTATACTGGGCTTTGGCTGAGACCAGACAAAGTATTCGCTATATATGGAACATCAAGAAATTTGGGAATATTAAATGTATATGTGTTGTTCGATACATATATCATTTTGACTTTCATCTGACGGCATTTTACTGCTGTACCTAACTGATTAAGCACTATGACATGAAGGTGTAAGGGGGGAGTGGATATAAAGACCCATGTTTTCTTGACCTCACACTAGTTGTAGGTGAGTGGTCAGCTTCAAACCCCAGCCACTTAACCCCCAGGGAAAGAGCCCAGGTATCCATTGGATAGGAGGTTTCGTGATCCCCTGAACTGGTCTGGATGATGTGGAGAGGAGAACATTTGTGGCCCTAACAGGACTCAAACTCTGAAACCTCCATCGCTGGGCCCGTAGCCAGTCGCTATACCAAGTGTGCTATCCCAGCACCTACTGCTGTCAAAGTAGCTAACATAATCTGAATTGGCCAACAATTTACATCTGTCAAAGTATGTAATTATGTTTCTTTGTTTTCTGTTCAATATTGTGGCCACAAATTCTTTTACACACAAATAACACAGCAGATTTTTAGAAATGACTGTGGCCACAACAAATTTTTTCTTCATAAATGCGGCAAAGGCAAAATTTTGCTAGTGTTGCAGCTTTACAAAAACAAGACTGGAGATTATAATATTAATGTGAAGAAGCATTTCTCTACTTTTTTTTTAATTTACCCAAAATTAATGGGTTTTCAAGAAGAAATTACTTTTCTATTGTATGTGAATAAGATATATACAGCTGTTTCATGAGAGTGAATATAGTAATGCTTCAATATACAAAGAGTTTCATTTGTGTATTAAATAATTTTTAGCATTAGTAGTACCAGTATAGGAATGGCAGTATAAATTCACACATAAAAGCTTAATTACTTTCCTTTCCTTACTGATATTTTTATAAAAGATAAGTGATAAAGTTTACTTGCTATGAAAACATACTGGAGGATGGAAGCATAGCTGCATGCATTCTTAACGTTGTCAATAGATAGAGGTAAGTGGTCAGCTTCACACCCCAGAGAAAGAGACCCTGGAACCCACTGGATGGGCCCCTGAGAGGTCATGATATGGTAGTGAGAACAAAAATATCTCAACCCTGCAAGGAATAAAATCCAGATTCCTTGGTCATGCAGCCTGTAACCTAGTTACTTTACCATCTGAGCTATCCTGAATCATTATTAAAGCAGACTGCTGTGACAAGTTTCACTGGCTTTGACCTTCTGGAAATGTAACGTTTGAAGCAGGTGCATAGCAGCCTGACCACCCATCTAACTTCACCATTATTCAGAATTGTCTTAACAGTAGACTCAGAAAAACTATATGCCTATCAGTATCCATCTGACACAGTGATTGGTTTACATTTGACAAATAACTTCTAATTTGTCCTTCAAAGTGATGACCTTTTTTGATCTTCTAGCTGGTATAGCTTCATAATCACTCGGTTCTTTTTCACATAGACACAGACTGAATACAGTGTAGCTTTACTGCAATTTGTGCTACAAAATTTGCATAGATGAGAAATGACAGCAGTTTGAGAAAGTATGTAGTGCATTATTGGGTGCTGGTTTACCTACAGGTGTAAACAAATATTTTTCTGCTATAGCTGTTCACTTTCTATATACATGTCATATAAACTGATTAATATTATTAGCTTCATTGTCCTTAAAGAGCAATTTCATACTGTGAGTGCTTGCACCTTTAAATTATTGTAATTTGGATTCTTCTTTTGGATCTGTACACTGTATGGATGTGGAAATTGTGAACAGGGAAATAGTCAGTAATCATGTGTACGTGTATATATAAGTTTTTCTTCAACAGACCCGATGATGTCTGTTCCCAGGGTGGATGAATGGGATCACCTCTGACAAGTGAACAACCTCCATTATAGGGCCACCTCCCTTCTATGATACACAATTCTCCATATTACTTTCATCCCTGTTGCAACATTCCTTCACCAGCAGGGATTCCTCTTCCACCTTCCACCCTTCCTGATCCACAGCAGAGGTGATTAAGCAACAATGTCATGTGCAAGAGCCGGTCTAGGCCTACCCTTTATGTATTCATTCATTGGATGGTTGACCATTTGGGAACAACAGTTTCCAATGTTTTTTGGCGCACTTTGTGGCCCTAAAAGGGCTGCTTTCATAATTTTTCCTATCCACTGTTCCCATTGGCCCAGACTAACCACCAGTGCCTCCACCTCCCTCCCATGGATCTCTTTGACCAAAGCCTATGTATACATGAACAGTGACTCACCTTCTACACTTTGACCATGAAGAAGGAAGCAGCATGTACCTCGAAGACAACAGCAATCTGCTCACACACACTGTGTAAAGAACAAAGAGCATAATCAACATCAACAATTAACCACTGTGAAAGCACAAAATCAGTGATTTTAAATTTATTCATGATAAAATTTTTGTTTTGATAATTTACAATGTATTTATCCTCAGTATACATAAACTGTAAGAAATCCAGAGTTCATTAAACTGAAAATTTACTCACAAAGTATTCATATATCGAGGTTTTGCTATATTCATAAAGTGTACAATTTTTAATTGTGGATGATTTTGTGCCCAAACTGTCCTAAAACACTTGACATCATTCTTTATTTCTTTCTTGCTGGAACCTGGGTGTACTATCTATCTATCTACTAATGGCAGAGACTGCTGATTGTCTTAATAGGTGGGACAGTTGGACTGTTGGACTGGCTTCCACCACAGCTGGGTCATCATGAAAAATAGATTTTCAAGTTTTAACATTTGAAGTAGATTTCACTATGATTTTTATTAGACAGAATCTCTTCCTGTGTTTTTGGCAGTTCACTCTCATGGAATGATTCATCATGTTTAAACATTTTATGATCTCAGATAGTACCAGTTATTTTTGTATTACACCAGTGTTTCTCAACTTGTGTGCTGTGACATTAGTCTTAAGTATGCCACAAAATTCTGAATTAAAACGCACCTCTATTCATTTAACAGTTCATAAATTGCAGTAATAAGAGTGTGATCTTATTCAGTCCTAAAAAACAACACCGCCCAATGTGACTATTTAAGTTTTATCATTTATTTTTGTCTTTGTAATTGTTAGTGTGATGGACCAGAATGAAACAAATCAAATTTATTCAGTCCTGTTTTGTCATTTCATAAGCCAGTCCTGATGTTTGTTATATTATTGCTACATATCTCTGTATTACAAAAGAACATGTAAAAGAAAAAATAATGAAGTACAATGCATAATATGAATATAGTGTTTGCATATTTAAATACATGAGTGTACCTAATTTTGTTTTTGGCAGATGGGTTGGGCTTCTCGTTAGTAAATCCTGTACTGCTTCCAACAAACAGGAAGGCTAAGGCTAAACTAAATTGCCATGAACCTTGTGTAGAAGACTTCCAATAACCGTGAGAATGAAAACAACCTATACGACCTACAGCTTCGGTACCGCGCAAAATGACGTCATGATTCCTAACGCAAGTGATCAATCCGTGCCGTTCGAGCTCGAGGTCGGACTTCTTGTGCGGCGACATCTGTGTTGCATTTAACGAACCACGCAGTTGTGCCACGCGCACCTCGACAGCTCAGCCGATATAGCGGTGGTCTACGGGCTGGGCGGTCGGGTTTCAAGAAATTTCTCTACAGCGTCCAGACAGGATCGGAGTCCCAGCCAGCCTCCTATCTAATAGGCATCGGAGGCTCTTCGCTCAAAGGGGGGGGGGGCTCTATCTAATTTAGAGGTCAAGAATGGTGGAGCTATATCTCCACTACCCCATACGTCCTAATGGCGTGTGAATAATTAGTTAAACACAGGGACGGCTTTACCTCATACGCGTGTACATAGTCAAAACGTCGTGAACGTGTTCACATCGACCTTGACTTAAGGTATGTCATGATCATTAACATATTTTATTTGTTTAGAGTTATACTATATTGATCCTGATAACTTGTAATGTTACTGTGCAGGTTTCGCTAAGCAACAATAATACATAGGCTCCCCAGTTAAAGCAGTCAGTCGATTATGAATTTGAGAGACAATTTAAATTTTTTCGATTTAAATAAGGTCTATTTCACATTTTTCCATTGTTGTGCCAGGTGCGCTTGCGCGCGGTTTCATGACCGTAAAAAAAATTATGTTGATGTTCTGAAAGCTCTGCTATAGCATAACGTAGCGTGGTGGGTACATAATTCGACACTCGATGTGGACCGGCAGTGAATTTCTCATAAATTATTTGTCAGAATTGCCTCTCTTATAATTCCCAGAGGAATACAAATATTGATTTTATTTACTTGTATTTAATCCGGTTAGCCCTTCGAAAAATAAAAAGTTCTACTCTTGTGGTTAAGTGATACTCCACATGCTGACAGGAGTAATTACAAAAAACAGTGCATCTTCTGCCTTCTGTAAGCAGCGATCCCAGCACAGGACTCTTTAAGTGGCTCCCTGCTTCGTATGCTAGACATCTGTGGCCGCGGTCGCGGACAGGGCATGTAGCACGAATGGGGGAATAGGAATACATATATGATATTGTTGGGAAAGCCAGAAGGAAAGAGACCACCACTGGGAAGACCAAGGCGTCGGTGGGTGGACAATATTAAATGGATCTTAGAGAGAGAGGATGGGATGGTATGGATTGGATTGATCTGGCTCAGAATAGGGACCAGTGGAGGGCTCTTGTGAACACGATAATGAACCTTCGGGTTCCATAAAATGCTGGGAAATTCTTGAGTAGCTGCAGAATTGGCGGCTCCTCCAGAAGGGCTCAGCTCCATAAGTATTATTTTTTTATCGCTAGTGGAGTGGGAGTAAGTCCCTTGTACTGTGGCCACTTCTGGCCTATTGTACCAGCCCCAGATGATAGGTGAGGGTGATTGTGGAACAATTGGTGGAATGAAGATTGGCAGGGGAAACCGAAGTACTCGGAGAAAATCTGCCCCAGCACTACTTTGTCCATCACAAATCCCACTTGACCAGACCCGGGATCAAACTCGGGCCGCTGCGGTGGGAAGCCAGCGACTAACAGCTTGAGCTACGGCGCGGCCTGCTCCATAAGTAAGTGAATAATCTCAAAGAATTTCAGTTACTAATTTATGTCAACTGATATTTCTGTGCATAAATGTGTCTGATGATGAGAGTTAAAAAATTTTTAAAACGTTAGTAGTAAGAATGAAATAATGTTCTTTTATCAATATGTAGCCCATTGCGTTTCTCTTTAACTAATAAACAAGACTGCATAATGTCTTAAAAGACACTGAAAGTAGATTACAGTTTTAAACAATTTAATACCTCTATGTGGAAGGCTGTCTAACAGTCCAAAGTAACAAAAGATGTGTTAGAAATAACTTTGTGTTTCAGGTGTCCTACTTCGTTATTCTATTGAACTTCATGAAATACACACTCGAGTTTGTGGTCGTGTCAGTCGTACGGCACTTCCAAAATTACTAAATTCACGCCAACGAGACATGCAGTTAGGAAAGCTGTACTTTAACATTAACTGAGCTGGACACCAAAAATATTGTTGCCGTTGTATATCACGGCAGACCAATATTGTCAAATTTCTCCCGTTTTCGGGTTTCGGGACCTTATGTAAGAACATTTGGTAGGATCCCAGACAACACAGACACATGAATAATGCAGATGTCCATTTAACCCCAAATGACATTTGAACCCACGATCACGTTGTTCGAGTGGTAGAAGTGGATATACACATTAGCCCGCGTGACCACTGTAATTGGTTATAAACATCAACAGGGATATTAAATAGTAGTAATAATGGTGATTAAAATAATTCGGGGGCTTAGTGGTCTAAGTGAAAGGCGATGTCCTTTCGTGCAGTTTTCGTGTTGGAAATCAGCTGGACCCATTGCACATTTCCCTTCCAGTGACTTGTGACAAAGCAATGAAAAAACGACTTAGTGTAGGTGAATAACACCAGGATAGCGTTGTAGTTCGGATCCCACGTTAAGCTATAAGCCTCCTCTGATGAGAGAATCATCATCACCACCACCATCACTCTGATTCTATCACTAGAAGTAAAATGAAATTCCCACTCACTGGCTGTTCCCATAAAAACATGCACCCCATATTCGTCCTCACACGACGGGCAAAGGAAGGCATAAACCACAATAACACCAACATCATAATTACAATAAATGGATTAAGATAAACTACACAACAACTAAATTCCATATAATTCATTTTGTATTTCAGTTTAATAATTGTTAATATAGTACTCGTACCTTTATATATAACCAGGTGAGAAGGCAGGTTAAGCTGCAGACTGCCTGACTAACCGTGTAATGGATCGTCACCATTTCACAATCACAGATATTACATCACTATTGTCTTAGCACATGTATTTACGTATTTACAGACGGGAACAAAACAAAGTAGAGACGTAAATATATATTGTTCTACGTTGTCAATCCCTGAAGAGATATCTCTGCCCTGTGGGCATGTGACGCGGGAATACAACACGCACGCGCATAGCTCTCATTCTACCCTCCGTTTTGTATGTATGTAAAGCTTGTACAGTGTAACAGCGAGTCTAAGGGAAGTAAAGAGTTGAATATGTAGAGCAACAAGTGATCTAAGGGGCGAAATAGAATGTTTGCATTCAATTTTTAATACAATATCGACGTGCGCTTTTACCTTCACTCACATGGACACCGCAGAACATTTGGAAAGTATGTAAGATTTGAGGTTTTCACGGCGGTGACTATGAAGAAGGCAGTCTTCTGGGATGTGGCACCGTGTAGATGTGGTGTTAACCGACGTTTCGGAGGAACGTATCGCCTCCATCCACCGTGAGAACTGGTACAAACAGTCTGCTTCTACCGGTTCTTACGGTCTCTTCGTTTGCGGATTTCTTATTTTTCCTTTTACCCTGAAGATGGAGGCGATACATTCCTCCGAAACGTCGGTTAATACCACATCTACACGGTACCACATCCCAGAAGACTGCTTTCTTCATTTGGAAAGTATTTCTACATCGATCGAAAATATCAGTAGAACAGCTCAATAATTAAAACCGAATATCCAAACGGAAGAGTACAATCCATCGGAGGAACCGAACGTACTCAGTTTCGCTGTCTGACCTTCCGCTTGAAGGACGTAGAAAGCCTCAGTTAAGGTTTAACAATGAATGTTCTGGAATATTTACACTGGCTTCATCGCTTTGCTTGACTTGCACATTATGCACATTCTGGCATGCTTACATTTTTTTTCTGGCTTGCTATGTGATTCGCTGCCTTTCTATGCATGCATCTATTGAAAGTGAAGGGTTAAATCTATGGAGAATTGCGCCTCAATTTATTACTATTACTGAGTGCCTTGGAAGCACCTTGTTCAGGGCCACTGTCATCACTGCCCTCTGAATACTCTTCTGAATGTTCATTTTCTCTGTCATTGTCTTCCTCATTGTCGCCAGTACTCTCTGCTCTTGCTCTCGACAACATGTCTTCTCTGGATCCACTCAGCAATTCCATCGCCTCTTCATATGTGGGTGGTTGGGTCAACTGACTCTCTGTCCTCTCACGTTCTGTGGTTATTGGTAGTCTCAACTCAGGCGAATCTGGAGTTTCAAAATCAAAATTATCTCTTTGTTGAAACACAACTCTGGAATGAGTTTCATAAGTATCGTCCAATTCTCTCTCTGTTGTTTCCCGTTCTTCTTTCATTCTCTTCTTTATGCTATGTTTAATAACGCCTACTACAGTCAATATTCCTACAGCGGTTATAATCAGTATTATAAGTGCAGTGCCATAGTGCGTAAATCCAAATGAACCTTCTTGCTCTTCAGAAGGGTACCATATCTGATGACATGCGGATATCCAAGACTTCCCAGCCACAGAATCTGGTGATATACATTTGATACCAGATTGTTCTGATTGTGTAACTTTTACCGGGTAACTTGTTAAAAATTCCCAAAAGTTTTTGAAGTCTTGAGAATAACAGTCGCAAATCCACGGATTATCTGCAAGTTTAAGGGATTCGAGACGATCATTATAATCAAACATATTAATCTTAAATGTGTTTGTGAATCTGTTCCCTATTAAATTAATGCTTCCGATTTCAGGTAATCTCTTAAAAGTATCGTTAGTGATGTATGATAATCTACAGTAACTTAGGTCTATGTCTCTCAAGAACCATGACTGTATGTTGTCTGGTATATTGTCTAAAGGATTGTGAGAGAGATTTAGATGTGTCAACCAAGGCAAGCCTATTATAGAGTCTTTTTCTATATCTCTAATCTGACACTGACTTAGGTCTAGGTTCTCAAGCATCAGTATACTTAAATTTCCAACACTCTGGAGGCGATTCACAGATAGATCCAATGTCTTTAAATTATAATTTGTTGAAAATGTATTGGAAGGAAGAGAGCCCTGTAACGAATTTGTAGATAAATTGACAAATGCTAGTGACCTTGCACCTATGAATGCCTGTGGGTGTATATCCTTTATTTCATTTGCTGATAAATCAAGTTCAACCAGGAATTTGTTTTTGAGAAAAGTTCTTTCCTTCAGGGCTATAATTTTGTTTCCTCTCAAATTAGCGAATGTTAAATTTGGGAACCCATAAAGACCAGGCTTTGTAAGGCTACAATATGCAGCTTCAAAAACTTGCAGTGACTCTGATGTTAAGTTACCATGATTTACTGCAAATTGGCTGTTACCAGAGAGCTTTAACGTGGTAAGAGATGGTAAGTTACGTAGAGCGTTTGGATTCATGGAATCGATGTCACAGTAGCTTAGGTCAAGAGATATCAACGTTGAAGACGAAAGATCATCAAGCCACTTGATTCGGTTGAAGGATAGATCAAGGTTCTGGAGTCTTTTAAACCCCATCAGTGCCTTCCCTTCGAATCGTACGATACCACAAGAGCTGAGCTGAAGGTCTTCCAACGAGTAACTTGTTATACTCATCTGGTTATCATAACCAGTGAAGGTTTCGAAATGGTTGTGAGAGAGTTTCAATGTTTTAAGACTATTTAAATTCTGAAGAAGAATTCTGGGGTTAATCTTCGCCAAGTTCGTGAATGAATTATATGATAAGTCGAGATATTTGAGGCGGGTAAATCTTTTAAAAGTGGTCGTTGAAATCTGTGATATCCTGTTCCGAGACAGCTCCAGAACCTCCAGTGCAGTAAGCTTTTCTAGGTTTGGTATATTTTGGATGGCGTTTTCTTTCAGGTCCAGCCATTGTACCTGCAATTCATAAACATATATTAGCATTTAATCTACATACAACATTTTGTCACTTTAATTGCAAAAGTTCAACTCGAATGAAAATAGCTGTTGAATATTTTTTCACTAGTTCCTCAGATATCTTCTTAGTCAGATGACCACTTTATTTGTTAAACATTTCTATATTGAGGAATAATTGATGGATATTTAGTAAAAGGCAAAGAAACCCTTTTAACAGGCCGTGAAGGCCCATAGGGTTGTGAGACGTCGAGGCTCCCATATTTTCTAGAGAATTGGCTCACAGATGGCGATAGGAATATCAGTCTTACACGCCGGCCTCCCACTGTACCCCAGAAAGATTCCTGGTACACATTTTTGCTAGAGGCTGAGTTGACCCCAGGGCCACAGTACGGCTGGAGGTACTCGTATTAGGTAAATTGAAAAATTCAATGACCTCATGGGGAATCGAACCCGCGACTTTACGGCTTGTAGCATAGTGCCTCAACCAATTACGCTACCGTGTTCTCCGATGGATGTATAGTTTCTTTATTGCTAGTGGGGTGGGATTGAATCCCTTGTACTGAGGCCACTTCTGGCCTATTGTACCAGCCCCAGATGGTAGGTGAGGGTGATTGTGGAGCAATTGGTGGAACGAAGATTGGCAGGGGAAACCGAAGTACTCGGAGAAAACCTGCCCCAGCGCCACTTTGTCCACCACAAATCCCACCTCACCAGACCCGGGATCGAACCCGGGCCGCTGAGGTGCGAAGCCAGCGACTAACCGCTTGAGCTATGGCTCGGTGGATGTAGAGTTGGTTGAATAAATGTATGAATAGTCTGGTAGATGCTCTATTTCCACAGTTAGAACTTAAATTATTATTAACACACTAGTGTAACGCCCGTTCAAGTTCCAACGGGAATAATGAACTGATAAACAGTGCAGTAGAATTTCTCATTTTATAAATACATAGAACTGCTTCTGGTTTTGATACACACATAGAGAACTCTATTCCTTATCGCATGTTTCGACTTGATTTAGTAAAGCAAAAACTTGTAAAGATAAATTCCTTCACCAGCGACTAGTATTAATATTAATGGTCTAGTATTAATAAATTGAAGTGAAACGAAGCGTTTCACGGATGCCCTACGTTCCAAGTGGGAGCAACAGAAATAGATGGATAGATAGGAAGACTCAATCATATACGTAAATAGCCAATTATACACTAAATTATTAACAGCAACATTTCTAAATTAGTTCTATATTTTATATCTTTATAAATTTCCGAGTTCATTTAACTTAGAATTAATAAAATAAATCCAGTTTTTCTAGTCCTGAAATTATTCTTTCCCACAATTAATAACCTCAGTAAGATCACTCACAATTCCTAGGTTTTCGAACTTCGTCCAACGTCCGGTATTTTAAAAACCAGAACACACGATGTTTCGGAAACTAAATCTGTTTCCGTCCTCTGGTGAGGGGTCAGACACCTACTATGTTGGGTCCGTTAGAAAGAGCTAACCTCCTGGAATTGAGGTTAGCTCTTTCTAAGGGACTCAACCGAGTATGTTTTTCCTCGTTCAACTGAGGACGTAAATAGATCCAGTATTATACACCATCTTCAGAACCCTTTTTTTTCCTTGGCATTACAGCCCAAGTGGGTCTAGGCCTACCTCCATGAACTTCTCCGTTCACTTCGGTTTTTCTAGATCTTACACATTCGATAGGACTCCTTGGGCTGGTGATCAGCTCGTCGCAAGGCCTCTACCTGTACACAAACGCAGAAAAACGCACACACACACAAACTAAACATCCAGGCCCTGATTGGGATTCGAACCCACGATCCCGGTTTCCAAGTGAGCGAAGACAGTACATGCCTTAGACCGCTCGGCTACCGTGACCGGCACAGAATCCTTTAGAATCTGAAATTGGCGAAGGTTCTAGGTACGGTGTTTCTATGAAATAATATACCTCAGTCGGTTAAGAACATTATGTATGGGTTGCACGATTCTGTAGGGTTTCTCTTCACTGTATTTGCTGTGGGGCACTCCTTGCTTCCAACTAATTGAATATCGGGAGACTTACTGCGGAAGTAGAGCGGTTGAGTTAAATTAACTATGGAGCTTGAATTATGCTCCCTTATATGCCCTTATGGAGTGGTGGTTAGGCATATGGGGAATGCTACCAGTTACAGTAAATATGAATATTATGTAACGAGGCGATTCTTATTGTTTACCTCTTCCTCTTCTTCTCTATCGGGTTCTCTGGTCTGTTCCATTTCGGATTTAATTTGTGAAAGTATGAATATATTAGTCATTTGGTAGGATTCCTTGGACAAGAGATCGACCCCCTCGCAAGATCTATACCTACACCTTAAAATACAAGCACAGAAAAATATCAGGCATACGTGTATGTTCATGCCCCGTTTGGGAATGGAACCAAAGGCCCTACTGTTAAAGCGGTCAAAGACTTTACGCGCCCTAGACTGTGAGGTCACTGCAACCATTGTCATCGGAATAATTTGGGTCCATGTAAACACGCTAACGAGCCTTCAGATTTTGTAGGATATCAGGGATTCATTGGCCGGCTAAGCGAATATCAGCTTTTGAAGATAGGCTGTGCTTCATGGAGCTGGTTTCTATGACCGATTTACTTACTCTTGTGTCGACATCTGTGGGGAAGTTGAAGAGGTTCAATCCGGAACAGTTTACTGTTCTCGGTAGCTCATGTAGAAGACAGGAGCAGTGCCATGGACACGTCACCGAAGCACTGACCTGTTCTATCCCCAGGATGACGATGACGGAAAGCCGAACCAATAGGAGGACCATCTTCAAATTGATGCTCCGTTACCTGGATGCGTAAACAAACGCTTGAGTTAACAATATGGAATTAATTTGGCCACCCATTTTTTTATTGCTAGTGGGGTGGGACTAAATCCTTTGTACTGCGGCCACTTCTGGCTTATTGTACCAGCTCCAGATGATAGGTGAGGGTGATTGTGGAGCGATTGGTGGAATGAAGATTGGCAGGGGAAACCGAAGTACTCGGAGAAAACCTGTCCCAGCGCCACTTTGTCCACCATAAATCCTACTTGAGCAGACACTGGATCAAACCAGGGCCGCTGCAGTGGGTTTGGACACCCATAACATGGATATGCTAAAATCAATAACTTCTATACTAATGCTCTTTTTGTTTTCATTACACGGAATACATAAATGAAAGGATAAGCATGAAGATGTGTCCGTTCACTGTTTTATCTTCAGATCTTCTTAAAAAATATGAAATAATCCTGATCAGACACAATTCCTTCGTCACCGTCGGTCCACTGCAGCATGTCCTCCTCCATCATCAGGATTAAGGAGTAAGCCAGTAAACAAACAGGTTTTTTTTCCTTGGCACTACAGCCCCAGTGGGCCTAGGCCTACCTCCATGAACTTCTCCGTTCATTTCGGTTTTTCTAGATCTTACACATTCGGTAGGATTCCTTGGGTGGGTGATCAGCTCGTCGCAAGGCCTCTACCTGTACACAAACGCAGAAAAAAGCACACACACAAGATAAATATCCATGCCCTGAGTGGATTCGAACCCACGATCCCGGCTTCCGAGCGAGTGAAGACAGTGAGTGCCTTAGACCGCTCGGCTACCGTGACCGGTAAACAAACAAGTTAATTCTTGGTAATTCTGTATGATCTGAGGTTCTCAAAAGGGAAATATCGGCTGAGTCTCAACGGACTACACGGCCTTGTAGCCCAGCAGACGGAGCTCTTCTGAGTAATTTCTTAGCCGCTTCCTTATTCGATTTACTCATCGACCCTGAAGATGGAAGTAGTACGTTCATCCGGAAAGTCTGTAAACTTCTAACAGACACTACGGGGTCACTTCCCAAATGATAGTACTCTTCGCACTCACTGCTTTGGGAACGTAAATCTACATTTAAAAAAATTGGAAAATCTATGCGTTCCAAGATGCTGTAGACACTATAAACACATACTTTTGCTCAAAAGTTGATCTGGATATTTGAAGGAGACGTTTCGGAATCTGTATATTGTCATGTGTTTATGGCACCGTGACTAATAACGGGTTCTGGATTGAATGTGTGGATATATTGACACATCCTTTAATAATCTCTCTTAATCACAATCAGTTATAGCTCCATCACTAATTTACCCACTTCACAAATCACTAGGACACGCTCCATTCTCGTTCTAGTTCTTCGTTGCACTTCTGTTCTATACTCCTTCAGCTCCCAGCTTCGGAACTCAACTACCTTATATCCATTTGGCACCGACTACACGGAAAACATAGCCTGTATTTTTGACGAAGCTTGTTTACCGCGCCGTTGCATATCAATAGACGTCCTTCTATTGTTGAAAGCGTCCGGGAATGTGTTTAGTGACCCGTTGCCTAGCAATGGACATGACGCTGACCACATAGAAAACACTTCTTGCAATACATTTCTTGTTGCGTGCACGTATTTCGGGCGCTGCCCAGAAACGAGTCTACATGGAACAATATAGACACAATTTAACGGCCATTGCTGTTTCTCTTGGGGTCATCTGGTACCAGACACGTAAGTTGCCTATGCGTTCTTTTATGATTAGATTGTGGCAGCTGCAGATAGCACCTTACCGTCGAACAAACAACTGTTATCATATCAGCACTCACTGGATATAGTCTACCGCTCTGAGCACAATAACAGCAGTAACATTTATAATGATTAGACATGGATGGGTAACCAAGATCGCCATGTGCCCTATTATGTTCGTACCTTTCTTATAAACCAAATTTCGTGAGAATCCGTTATATTCGTATGTAAATAAGGTAACCACATTTTTAAGAGAAGGCATAATGTGTCATATAGTGGTTTGTGAAATGTAGTAATAAGTTTTAAGTCCGATCATCAATCCAAAACCCATCTATAAGTCACTCACACCTAAAAATACGTGACTATATATATATCACCCTCCGCAGTCCCTTCAGTACTTTACTGTCCATTCTAACCTGAGAACGGAAGCAGTAAATTTCTCCAAGACGTTGGTAATATTTACCATTTCAACGCATTGACATCCTGCAAGATTCTAGAGCAAAAGTGCACTACGTGGAAACCTGAAGTCCGGAGAAGCACTTACTTGATTGTTGTCCAGAGGACATCGCTTTTGCTGAAACTCATGCTGAAGATGAAGATGATGAGTTCCAACCAGCAGTGTCGAATCTTCCACTTGTTACAAAATACAGTCGAAAGGAGAAATGTGCAAGGGTCCGCGGATCGCGTTATCTGCCCCACTATCAGCTTCCCTGCCTCTATTTGGACTGTGTCATATCTGTCCTTATCTTCTAAATGTGCCGGTACCGTTAGAACAGAAAATTTGTCTCTCGTCTCACATGTTTATGATATGCCTGAGTGCTTGGAAACGGCAGGAAAAAAGCAAGCGGTCTTCAAGACAAAATTAAGAGCAGATTGAATTAGGCAAGTGCTTGTTGCCATTTGGTGAACACCCTGTCTCACGGTATTTTATTTAAAAGCATGAATCTTATAATATGTTGATTTATATTGGCGCGAAACTTGATCTGCCTCTTCGCAACCTCACACCTGCTCACTCATACTGCCTCTGCAATGAGGTCAACATGGATCGAACAGTAGGAGGGCAGTGACTAAAATGTAGCAGACACTAAACCAAAAGAAACAGATTCTCTCTACAATAATTTATACTCGTATATGACTTATATATAGGTAAAAAGGCCGGTCACGGTAGCCGAGCGGTCTAAGGCATGTACTGTCCTCGCTTGCTTGGAAACCGGGATCGTGGGTTCGAATCCCACTTAGGGCATGGATGTTTAGTTTGTGTGTATGTGTTTTTCTGTGTTTGTGTACAGGTAAAGGCTTTGCGAGGAGCTTATCACCCGCCCAAGGAGTCCTACCGATCGAGGTTTCCACATTTTCTTGATAATCGGCTCGCAGATGGTGGTGAGGTTGTCAGCCTTACGCACCGGCCGGGCTAAACACCCAGGAAGATTCCTGGTACTCATTTCTGTTAAGAGGCTGAGTCGACCTCAGAACCTTAGTGCGGCTGGAAGTATTGGGCCTAATGAAAATTCCAATAACCTTCCGACTTGTAACATAGTGCCTCTTACTACGTAAGACTTACATATAAGATGGAAAGAAATTATCTCAGAAGCTCCCCACAATGCAATTCCTTAAAAGCAGGTCGGAAATACGGATGTCCTGAGACGCCTATTTTTGAGGTACACGACACAGTCAGATGAGGTAAGACAATTCTCACCAGTGTTATTTGTCACGATAAAATGTAGCACGTGGTTAGGTGTACCCAAAGTTCAGTGCATAGCAGGAGCCAATTGTGGCCTAGTGATCAAGAAATGCGCACACATGATGCTCTGTTGAATGCAATGGAAGTGGAAGACATGAATGACAACACATTTCGCAGAGGAACGAAAAGATAGGCGTGGAGGTACAGGGCGCATGTGGCGTTATGACTGCAGCTCATGATATACTGCAGAAAACTGAGAAAATAAATTAGTTCGGTGTACAGCGAGCATGTTGCGAATCAACTTCGAGTGCTGCAGGACAAATACGATGCTCTCCTTGCTCAAAATTACGTTAACAAAATAACGTTACGAGCATAAATGGAGACTTAAACATGATATAACAAACCCTCAATATTTTCGTCTTCCACTAAATTACTGTGTGAATGCAGCGCATCAAAATAATGCCTAACATTATGACATTTCCATGATAGTATTACATATAATATAAAAATTAAGCTAATAATTATGAAGAAAACGACAAAATATTTAATTATATTTGCAGTGAACTACTATTATGGTTCAGATATGTCTTCTTTAGCTCTAAACTTAACGTTCACAAGTTTCAAAACTTAAAATGTAAGAAATGAAGATTATAACCATCAGCCCATACTCCGTCTACACTCACACTCCAAATGCTTGAAAATAAGTTTCAAGCCCTCCATACGACACTGTGTAAGGGTACTTCAATTTTTTCCAAGGAACAACTACCCTTGCACGCACTAGAAATTTTAAACGAAATTCTTTGTATGTTGGCTGCTGAGTTCAGATTACAAGGCAGCTTCACTATAGCTGCAGCTCTGACTGAAAATTCTTGACCCCAGAGGAACAGTTGCAATGGTGAGCCTGAAATCCAGAAAGAAGTGAATGAAAATATCCTCAATATGTTAACCGAACTTGGAGCATCTTCAAGTCTCCGGCTTCACTACCAAAGAATCAATACAGTGTTACTCCTTCACGAGTTGGAATGCAGTTCTTAGCAAAATTTGCTGTGAACAACAAGAAACTTCAATCTACAATTTGGAATAAATGTTCACAGTTTACTGTAAGTATTCGAAGGAAATACAACCGAATTCCAACACAAAGCCTTATGTTAGAGCAGTTTCAATAGGGTGCATGGGCTGTATGTGAGTTCTGAGAAATCTTTCAGTCCCTCATCGCTTGATTTATAGTGATAATGGTGATCCTTCCCGACTGGCTTGCTATAGATATTTTGAAAAGAATCTTTCCACCTGCTCGTAAGAACCATTTGCTGTAATTTACCTGTCGGAATGTTCTTTTTATTTTAGATCCAGTTTATATCTAGATGGAAATAATTACAAGAATTACACGTAATTTTCTTCATATTTTCATAAATCAATGACCTGTTCTTCAAGAGGTAAACCATTTACATTTTCCAAGGAACATTTCACACAAGTCTAAGTACCGAAAATTAGCGGAACAGGCAGAATTCTCACAGTCATAGTTGGATACAATACAACTTTCTGCAATATACTAAAAGAGAGGGTGTTCAGACGTTTGGTTCAGTTCAGTTGTCCTTTCTTGCATTTGTCTTCTACGCTTCTTCCTCTTCTTTTCTCTATTGCCTGTCTCATCTTCCTTATCGTAAATCTGAAGATCTTTAACGATGTACCATACTCCTATGTCTAGTAACGTACCGCCCAGAAGGAAGCCTGAAACAGTTTGCAAGATTCACATTCAAACCAGTTTAGGCTCACGAATGATGCAATAAAGGAGACTGGATCAGGCAATAACTTAAAGCCCATGCTCTTGAGGAGGAGGAGGAGGAGTGAAAGGGAGAAGAGGACGAAATGAAGTGGTTCTAGTCTAGACTAAGGTAAACGTAAAGTTATCCCTGTAACAGACCGTGAAGTCCCATAGTGTTGTGAGACATCGAGGCTCCCACATTTTCTCTAGAGAGTAGGCTCACAGATGACGGTAAGGTTGTCAGCCTCACGCGCCGGCCGTCCTTTACCACACAGGAAGGTACGTGGTTCTCATTTCTGTTAGAGGCTGAGTCATCCCCAGAGTAATAGCGCGACTGGAAGGATTAGATAAATTGAAAAATCCACCTCATCGGGTCTCGAACCGGTGATCATAGTGGCGCAACCAACTATGCTACCGCGTGCCCCGACTAGACTAAAGCCTAGAGTATTTTACAAACGAGGGTCATATTGGCTCAATGGAAATCATTGCTAAGTTCGTAAGATTTGGGGTTTTCACGGCGGTGACTCAAGAATGCCTTGACTGCAGCCAGCTGCTTAAGCACGTTCCTCGCTGGCGGATTTTTCTACCTTGAAGATGGAGGTGATACGTTCCTCCGAAACGTCGGTTCACACAAGATATACACGGTGCCACATCCCAGAAGACGGCATTCTTCATTGCTAAGTTCATTCTCAGATCTTAATGCAGAGCTCCAGCACCAAGTGAATAACTATGGAGCAAGGCTCATCTTGAGAACCTGATAATTACTAGCTTTATCATGACATTTTCTGACATTAATAGTACCCAACAGTTTCATTATCGTATTCGCAATAACCCGCCACTATATCTATTCCGAGCCAGTTAAATCCAGACCAAATCCTTAAACCCTATTTGTATCAGACTGATTTTAATCGTGTCTTTCCACTTATCCAAGGTCTCCCAAGCAAGTCTCAGCTTTTTGGATCAGAATTTGATATGGATTTGTAATCACCCCATGTGCTACACGACCCGTCCATTTAATCCTGATTTAATCACTGTAATAATACTTCGTGGGGTATATACTTGCGAAGATAATCAATATGTATTACTCTACATCCTTCAAATATGATTTGTATTATTCTTAATCCCTAAGTGAGTAGGCACAATAGATCACTGTGGTCGCGGTGCAAAGTCAAGAAGGTTCACCCCTTATACACTCATTCAAATCCCTAAGTGATAATGAAAGACGGCGATAATACTTACGTGTATTATTACTTTTGTACTTATGGAGTTTTCTTCGCTTATTGTGTGACATTTTGGTAAATCCTGCAGCAGCCAATTCCGGGGTACATATACTAATGTTGCAATGCCCACCAACACGGTTAATACCGAAACAATTTAGATACTTTCCTGGAAGATATGTGGAACTTGTTGATACTTGTCGCCTTCGGGACGAATATCAGGAATTCTAGACGTTGTATGACTCGTCATGGACTCTTTATATCCTAAAGGATCAGGAGTTACGAAAAGAGAGACTCACCTGAGGCAGTGAAATTGAGAAGGAACCCCAGTCGCTGTCCGTCGTAGAGCCAACAGTTACCCGTTTCTCCGCATGTCTGTCCCCAGACTATGCAGGCAGAATCTGAAATATCACAAGAAATTTAACGTTTTCGTCTCATTATCTGAAACACTGATGTAGTTTTCGGGAAATATACATATTTTGAGCGGAGCTTTTGGGCTTACTGCACAATTCTTCTTAGTTTTGCTGAATTTTCTTTTGCTCAGATCCAATTTGGAAAGACACTGCTGTGAAACTATCCACAGAAGATACTAATATTTAGAATATTTCTGCAATAATATTGTCTACTGCCAGTTCTAACTAATCATTATAATTTGACGAGTGAACCATATTGGTTGGAGGCACGCGGTAGCGTAGTTGGTTGAGGCACTATGCTACAAGCCGGGAGGTCGCGGGTTCAAATCCCTATGAGGTCATTAGATTTTTTCAATTGACCGAATCGTTCCAGCCGCACTATGTCCTTGGGGTCGAATCAGCCTCTGACAGAAATGAGTACTAGGAATTAATTAAATAATTTTCCTGCGAAGTAAAAGCGCGGCCGGCGCGTAAGGCTTTCATGGCCTGTTACAGTGATAGTTTAACTTTTTTTTTTTACTATATTGGTTTCCACCACCACAACTTTCCCTGTAGCTATGCTAGACT